TGATAGAGAAAAATTAAACTTGAAAGTGAAAAAAATTTAGAGTTGAAAGTGAAAAAATTATTGAGTAGAAAGTGAATTTGTTGTTAAAAGTAGGGGTGGCAATTTCCGATACGACCCGTTACACGACTCGAAACCCGCAAGCTAAAAACACGACACGAACCCGCACGATTAAAAAACGGGTCATTTTCGGGTCAACCCGCTGCTGACTCGTTTATAAACGGGTGGGTTTCGGGTCAACCTGCCAACCCGTTAAAACACCTGTTTAACCCGTTTATTAAATGGGTCGTGTCAACCCATTTATAACCCAATAACCCATTTAATTAAAAACCTAGAAAAGAAACACACAAATATAACATAACATATTCTCTCTCTCATCTATTCTCATTCGAAAACCTAACTCCCAGCCGCCTCCAAATCCTTTCCGAACCAACAACTTTCAGTGTGGTTTCTCTATGGCCATTTTGGCTGGATCACACCCAAAAAAGAAAGAAAACTAAATCTTTTTAGGAGATCTGAGATTTGCTTGGGTTCTTGAATTTTCTCCTTTGGGTGCTGTTTTGTGCTCTCAAAGCCTTACAGGTCTGTCTTCGTCTCCCTCTCTCTCTCTGTCTACGTTGTTATTTTCTGTTGGGTTTGGCCTTTGATCTTTATATGCTTACTTACTAGTTACTACCTTACATGAAAAAACTACTTTTAAAGCTCTGATGCTTTCGTTTGAGTAATGGGTCGATTTGTTTTCTTTCATTTTGTTAGTCCGTTTACTAAGTGAAAGAGCCAGCCATTGTTTTAGACTTGTAAAGGTCAAAAAGTTCTGAATGTTGAGTATTGATCTTGGAAGTAGTTGAGTATTTTTTGAAATTTCTGAATGTTGGGGCTTAAAGGTTGTAGTATTCCCTTTGGCATGAATACCAAAATAATATAACTGTATATTAAATGATATGAATGCAGAGTAGTTGTAGGAGAACTAGGATCCACAATGAAGAAATTGTTATAATTGTTATATGCTCTGTTGTTCTTATCAATACTGAATCAAGGGACTTAATTTCCCTTTATCTAGATTGTAATTTTGATGTCTGCATGGAGCACCTGCTTTGAAAAGGTAGGAAGTCAAATAGGGTTGCCTACACCTACATTTAATGTCCCAAAATTCAGTCGTTGTAATGTACCTTTAAGCAAATAATAATATATTAGAGACTTGTGATTTAAATTGCATGATTTTCATTGCTTCCATATAGTCCATTGACAGTGTTTTGATCAAGTCTGGAAGCTGGAGCTCATCTCATAGTTCAAAAAATATACAATTAGGGGTTCAACGTGCCTAAGTTTTAAATTCTTCCTATTAAAAAATCTCACATTCATGGTTGTGATTAATATTCTGTTTTGCTCTGTTTTTTTGTTTTTGTTTTATTGGATTTCTTTGTTTTTTGTTTATCTTTTGACTAACATAAAATTATTATGTTTTATACAGATGGATGTTTTTGAAGATGGGGGTGATAGTTTTGATGGTGAAGCAACTAGAAGCAATGTGCAAGATTCAGATCCGTCTAACAACAACAATGCAGTTGCTGCAACTCATGTTGGTAAGAGACGTAGAAAACTCACATCACATGTATGGACTCAGTTTGAAATTCTTCATGTTGATCCAGATAATAAGCTTTATGCGAAGTGCATGAAATGTGGTCATAAGTACTTGTGTGATAGTAAATATGGTACTGGAAATTTAAAGCATCATCTTGATTCTTGTTTGAAATCCGATACCCGTGATATTGGCCAATTATTATTATCTAAATCTGAAGGGTCTATCATAACAAGGTCTGCTAAGTTTGATCCCAATAAATTTCGTGAATTACTAGTGATGGCAATTATCAAGCATGAGCTGCCCTTTCAATTTGTTGAGTATGCTGGAATTAGGGATGTGTTTAGTTACATTTGTGCTGATATCAAATTGATATCTCAAAATACTGCAAAGGCTGATGTGTTAAGTTTGTACAATAGAGAAAAGGGTAAGCTTAAGGAACTTTTGGGTTCAATCAGTGGAAGAGTTTGTTTGACATCTGATTTGTGGACTTCTATAACCACGGATGGTTATCTTTCTCTCACTGCCCATTTTGTTGATGCTAATTGGAAATTGCAAAAAAGAATTTTGAATTTCAGTTTTATGCCTCCTCCTCATAGTGGTGTTGCATTGTGTGAGAAGATCTATAAGTTGTTGACTAGTTGGGGGGTGGAAAAGAAACTTTTTTGTATGACTTTGGACAATGCATCTTCAAATGATAGTTTTGTTATGTTGTTGAAGGGGCAGCTTAACTTGCAGAATGCACTATTAATGAATGGTATATTTTTTCATATTCGGTGTTGTGCACACATCTTGAATTTAATAGTGCAAGATGGGTTGAAACACATTCATGATTCTATGGGGAAAATTAGGGAAAGTATTAAGTATGTTAGAGGTTCACAAGGGAGGAAACAGAAGTTCTTAGATTGTGCTGCACAAGTTTCTTTAGATTGTAAAAAGGGTTTGCGCCAAGATGTACCCACTAGATGGAACTCCACATTTCTAATGATTGATAGTGCACTTTATTATCAACGGGCATTTCTGCATTTGCAATTAAGTGATTCAAATTACAAGCATTCTCTCTCTGAAGTTGAGTGGCAAAAATTAGAAAAACTTAACAAGTTTCTCAAGGTATTTTATGACGTCACTTGCTTGTTTTCTGGAACTAAATACACTACTGCAAATCTGTATTTTCCTCAAGTGTTTGTGGTGGAAGATACTTTGAGAAAAGCTAAAATTGATCAAGATGATTTCATGAGATCTATGGCAACTCAAATGATGGAAAAGTTTGATAAGTATTGGAAAGAGTACAGCTTGATCCTTGCAATTGCTGTAATATTGGATCCTAGATATAAAATTCAGTTTGTGGAATTTTGTTATAAAAGGTTGTATGGTACAAACTCCCAAGAAATGGCCAAAGTTCGTGAGATGTTATGTTCCCTCTTTGATTTATATGTTCAAATACATTCTAAGGCCGAATCAGTTGCTGGTATATCAAGTACCTCAAATAGTGTTCGTTCTCATGTTGATGACATGGTATCAAAGGAATGCATGGATGTTATGAAGGTAAAAAGCTATTTATTTTGTTCATAATACATCAAATTTCAGTTTATATTTGACTACGTGCTCATATTAATAATGTTGTTATATTATTAGGAATTTGATACCTTTGAAAGTGAGGAGTCTATCACATCTTCCCAAAAGTCACAGCTGCAATTGTATTTGGATGAGCCTAAAATAGATAGGAAGATAAATTTGAATGTTCTTGATTTTTGGAAGGTCAACCAATTTCGATATCCTGAACTATCTATTTTGGCTCGTGATGTACTATCTATTCCAATATCTACAGTCGCATCTGAGACATCATTTAGTGTTGGTGGTAAAGTGCTTGATCAGTATCGTAGTGCTCTCAAACTTGAAAATGTTGAGGCACTAATTTGTACACGAGACTGGATATTTGGTGACCAAGGTATATTTCCCATCATCTTATTTATTGTATTTGTTTCTTTTTATCATCATCTAAAGTCTTATGGTTTGAATTGCAGAAAATCCCACTATGGCACCCAACTTGGAAGAATTGACAGAGGATATTAGTAACATAGCCATAAATCTCTCCCAATCTGCTGAGTGCTCCAATACCATCGCTGCTAGTGGCTAAATATTTCATTTAGGAATGTGATTATGTATTTTATGTTGTAATTTAATCAAAGATTTTTGTTTCTGTTTTATTTGGATTTTAGAGAGACTTTGAAGTTTTTTAATTTTATTGTGATTGTGGAATGTTTGAGCTGGAAATGTTGGATTTGGAATGTTGGATTTGGAATGTTTAAGCTGGAAATGTTTGATTTGGCTGAATATTTGAGCTGGTTTATGATGGATTTGAAGCAGGTTAATAATAGGTTACTAAACAGGTTATTAAATAGGTAGATTACCTGTTTATGACCATATATTTGAAGCAGGTTAATAATAGGTCACTAAACAGGTTATTAAACAGGTAGGTTACCTGTTTATGACCTTAGATTTGAAGCATGTTTTTAAACAGGTAGGTTACATGTTTATGACCCAAACATGACATGTTTAGTAAACGGGTTACACGGGTCGTGTCGTGTCAACCCGTTTATAAACAGGTCGTGTTTGGGTTTGCAGTTCTTGACGCGATTAGTAAACGGGTCGTGTATGGGTTGAGGTTTTTTGACACGTTTAAGAGTTCGACACGACACGAACCCGACACGACACGACCCATTGCTAGCGCTAGTTAAAAGTAAAGAGTATGGATTGGTATTTATAGAAAAAAATTCAGTATTTTTTGGGATTTTTTAAAAATGTTTACGATTTTTTTTCATAATTTTTTGCCTTGAAAAATTCCAGGCCGTTGGATTGGATGAAAAACCGGAAATCAAAAGGACCAGATTGCGCCACGTGGCAGTGGAGAGAAAAAAAATTTGAATTGCGCTTGCTGACGTCAGCGCGCCTTCAGGCCAGCTCAAGCTCGTGGACCCCACCCTGCCCGGACCAGCCTTTGTTGCTAGAACTTGCATTTGGGCTCTTGCTCCCCCCCCCCAGCGGCCGCGGGGGGCGCGGCACCCCCACCTCAAAACCCAAAAAAAGTACTCGCCCCCGCCACCATTTTCAAAATTAGAAGAAACCAACTACTTGAACCGTTTGTCCAATGTATAAGTGTGAGTTTGTTCAATTAACACTATCATTTTCATTGAGGCAACTGTTGTTGGGTTGGCAAATTTGGAGTGGAATCAGACTAAACCAACCAATAATTAGATTTGGGCTTGCACTACTTAGATTTGATGGGCCATTTACTTTCTTTAGCCATTACTATTTCATAAAATAAAATAGAAAATAAAATTATCTTCTTGGCGGGAATGATATTTCACCTGGCGGGTGTACAAACGTTATGCCGAAAGCACCCTCGATTAAAATTCCAAACACCTCTGAACTTGATATGGCAAACAAAGTAATAAAACCTCCAAAGCAAGTGCAATGTCGTCCGTCGAAAACATGATAACAGGGAATATTTCCCGCCATTTCAAAACCCTAACACAACATTTTCGTTTTTCGATTACTCATTCCTGACCAGAGAGCGTCGCAACCATCAATGGCAGAAGAGCAGAACGCAGCACGAGAAGCAGATAACATAGCAGGAGAAGAGAACGCAGAGCAAGAAGAAGAAAACGCAGAGCAAGAAGAAGAGAAAGCAGAGCAAGCAGAAGAGAACGCAGAGCAAGCAGAAGAGAAAGCAGAGCAAGCAGAAGACGACGCAGAACAAGAAGAAGACAACGCAGAACAAGAAGAAGATAACCCAGAAAACGCAGTCGAGAACGCAACAGTAAAGGAAAAAGCGAAGGTAGCACAAGAAGAAGAGAACGCAGAACCGATCCGATCCGAAAATTCACAGATCCGACCCGAATTTCCGAATACTCGGGTGAAGAGGATAATGAAGCTGGACAGGGGCATCAACAAGGTAAATTCAGAAGCCTTACTCCTTGTATCGTGCTCCGCCCAGCTCTTCCTGGAGTTCCTGGCTGAGAGATCGGCTGAGGTTGCGACGGAGAAGAAGCGCAAGATCGTGAAGCTCGAACACATGCGAGTAGCCGTCAAGAGGCATCGCCCGACCAGCGATTTCCTTTGGGATGAGCTTCCCGTGCCCTGTCAGCCATCCGATCATCAGCCTACTGATCGAAGCAGCTCGCGCACCGTTTCCCATGCTCCAGCTCCGGCTAGACGAGATCGGAGCCGCTCTCGCGCCGTTTCCGATAAACCAGCTCCAGCTGGCACTCGCCGGATCGATCACTTCTTTCTGACAAAAGAAATCCCGATTCAGACCGAACAATCCCTAATTGAGACCGAGGAAGCCCCAATTGAGACCGAGGAAGCCCCCATTGAGACCGACGAAAGTCCAATTGAGACTGATGAAGCTTCAATAGAGACCGAGGAAGCTTCAATTGAGATCGACGAAGCCCCAATTGTGACCGACGAAGGTCCAATTGAGACCGGTGAAGGGCCAATTGAGACCAACGAGTCCTAGATCTTCGTTCGTTCTTTGCCTGTCTTAAAGAAGCAAAATCATTTTGTTTGGTCAAGTTGTAATTGTGAGAAACCAATGGAAAATATCTGATGGACACAAGGAGATTAATTCCAAATTTTCTTTATAATCCATTTTCTATTTTTCCTATGGATTTGATATTTATGATTGACCTAAGCACTGCAGTGAAGCTCCACGGCAATGGGGGAAAATCTCTACCGTTCTGCTCCCAGCCCATGTATGTTTATGTGTTGTTTAATTTAATGCAAAAGTTGTTTACTTTCTTTCTGGCTTCTGTTAATATATCAAATGTTGCTTTCTTTCTAGGGCTCTAAATTTTTAATCCCTGCCCTGATTTCTCTTTTCCTTTTCTCTGTATTTTCCGTTTAGCATAAATGAAAAATATATCACTTATAACATTCCTTGCAATATTACATTGTTCAATCCATGATTAACATGCTTAATATATTTTTTCTTTTGCTAACTGCAGTGTTTGGTAGTAATAAGGAAACAACAATCCTAGAACTTATTTATTTGCGTTTGCAATTACAATTGTCTAAAAGCTCTAGACACTTCTGCCGGCACAGGGGTAATTCATAAATACATAGGCTCTTTAGCTGAAATGATAGCTGAACTTATTCTTCTGCATTGATCTATTAGCTGAAAGGATTATGAAATCAAAAACCAAAAGTGATAGCATACCATATTAATTAATATGAGTGAGGGAGTCCTGTTTATATGAACTTGCCTCTTGGCACGCAGAGCGTGTGCCAATTGGCCTTTTTTTTTTCTTCTTATCTTTTGTGTTTATATTAAAAAGACTTTTTACAGTTTTTTGTTTTATTTTATTTATTTTTATTATAGGCTTAATTACTGTTTTACCCTGGAAGACTATTGAAGAGACGAGAAAAGTAGAAGGGCATGGTCTTGCATTGCTTACATTTCACTGATATTATATGCACTAAACCTGAAAACTAGATGAGTAATTTGTAGTATCAACTCCTAATGCATTCTGCTCCCATGTATGTTTGTGTGTTGTTTAATTTAATGCAGAATTTGTGTACTTTCTTTCTGGCTTGTGTTCATATCCCAAATCAAATGTTGTTTTATAGTGCTCTAAATTTGTAATCACCCCTTGCCTTTGCTCGGCCATCTCTTTACCTTTTCTTTCTCATTTTCCTTTTAGATTTGTTTTCTGATGCAATGTTTTTCAAACCCCGTTGAGATAAACACATCCTATGTTTTGGACGTCTGATCAGTCTGTATATCACTTATAACATTCCTTGCAATATTACAGTGTCCAATCCATGATTTGGACAAAAGCTAACATGCTTAATATCAAACAACAATCCTAGAACTTATTTATTCGCCTTTGCAATTACAATTGCCTAAAATTCTAGACACTTCTGCTGGTACAGGGGTAATTCATAAATACATAGGCCCTTTAGCTGATATGGTAGCTGAACTTATTCTTCTGCATGATCTATTATGTCTTTCTGCACACACTTTCTGCCCTATGTTTCCCCACAGCACATGAAGGGTGACGAATCGGAGAACATTCAGGGAGATTGTGGGCCGGAAAATGTTGATACCACTGAAGCTGTTTCATCTCTAAGGTGAGAAACAAGGCCAGGTCGAGCAAACATCTTTTGTCCCCGTGCCTTCTTACCTTCCTTTATAAAGGATATGCCTTGAGTGCCTGAGTTTATGCTGTTTGGTCCCAATTGCTGAAGGCCCAGGGAAAGCCTTCTGTTTAGAGGTATGGCATTGCTAAAACCTCCATTCACACTTCTGGTTGAAGTTCGCCTTGCACTGGTGCTTGGCCTGGTAATAAACAAGTTTTCTTGCTCAACTGCTACTTGGCTTTGTACCTTCTTCATTTCCTGGAAGGAAAACTTGCCTCATCATGTTGGTAAAAATACACAGGCCAATGGGCCATTGTGGAATGAGGTGTGATTCAATTGAGTTTGTTGCAAATATCTGGGATGTCTTACCAGAAACAGACAAAAAAAAAAAAAAAAAAAAAAAAAAAAAAAAAAAAAAGCAACACTTTCATATTCTGATGAATTGTGAACCTTTCATTTCATTGTCAAATAAAACTAACCCTTTGTCTTTGCTTATCCTCCTCCTTTTCCTGCCTTAGCACATTATACTCTTCCAACATTGCTAGGAGAGGTACCTGCATGTATTATATTAATGCCTTCATCAGATGCTCTACACAAATCAGCAATTAAGAATCAAATGAGAGAAGATTGTTTTACAGTATCACAGAACAATAAGTTATGTACCTCATCATACAAGAAAGTTTTCTTTCTTTCGTCTTCCCAACTCTTAGTATTTGCTATTAGCAAATCCACCAAAGCTGCATTTTTGTGGCATTGTGAGCAAACTTACTTATCTTTATTGGTTGTTATTAAACCATATGATGTGAAAACATTGCACATGCATTTACATTTTTCTTTTTTCTTTGTTTGAGTTTAAGGAGAATACTGCTACTCATCCAGCCAATGATATTCTTTATTAGCATTACATAGTGTTTGTAATCTTTGAGTTGTGTACCTCTTATGTATGACAATCCTGCTTCATGTTGGGTGTGAATGCATATAGCTAAGAAACAGTTCTTAATTTTACCTGGGATTTTGTTGACTAATACTCGGGCGCGTTCTGCACGTCTCAGGTTCTTGTGTGCACCTCTGCTGACCGAGTACCGGTTCTCATCCTAAAAAAGGTATTTTTGATTAGTAACTGTGAAGTGTATGTGTGTAATTATAAATGTAGGAGCCTAGTACAAATGTAGATCCATGCGTGTGAAATACTGACTCTGCTGTATTCTTCCAACCAACGCTCCTCATCACGTGCTAGCATCCACTTTTCCACCTTTTCCATGATAGTCATTCTGCTAGAAGCTTCTTCTTTTGCTCTTGATATCTGTTGATCCATGCTCATGAGAAGATCTGCATGGTCAATCTCCCCTGTTGTACATTTAGGTCAATTTACGGGCTACTCTATCTTTAAACAAGGAAAATCATCTCACTTATTACAAATAAACGCAAATCACTGAACCACACCAGAGTTAATGAGGTTAATTAGATTATCAATCTCTGACTGCAAAGGAATCTCCATGTGTGATTTATTGCATATCTCCTTGAGCTCATTCTGTTTCTTGAAAAATAGTTCTTTCATCTTGCTTGCTTTTAAGTGATCCAATCTCCTGACTTCAGCTTCAGCCTATAAAAAGACTTTGAAAATTGTTATTTCTCTTTTCTGATAAAATGAAGTGCCATCAAAATTTTATACTTACCTGCTGGATTATGTTTAGGGTTAGGCTTCCTGGATCTGATACTTCTGCTGATGAGAGTGATAATAAGCCAGTAACATGGGAAAACGATTGACGATCTTTATAGGGTGTGTCCATGAGATTCCATAAGTTTGTCAATGCTTTGCCAAGATGGTGAAGCTGAAAAAGTATATGCAGAAATATATCATACTGATGCTTTATCTAACCCAAGTATAACTATGACATGGTGAGTATATCTGTTTTGCAGAAACCTAGGTGGCAGGCCTTGACAATTAATTTTGCTCAAATGAATACTGATACAACTGCATAGCTAATTATCACCTTATCAAGTCGTTTTTGCTTTTCTTCGTCAAGAGATTCCACCGTGCTGTTAAGCTTAGCCAAAATACTGTTGCTTATGTTTTTGGTTATCCCACATAAGTCATTTAAGCTTGGATGAACCTTGGTGATGACCATGGAGGAGTCTGTTCCTAATATTGAAGACAGTTTGTGGACTGCATCTATATATTGTTCCACCCTCATGAGCCTTTCATTCTACGAGACCAAAAAATAACTTAAAAAGGGATTTGGATGATCATCATTTAGAAGGACAGACTATTGATTGATTATCCACAAGACAATTTCTGAAGTACAGTTATGGTACCTTCTCGTTGCGGAGTCTTTGTAGCTCTGTCTGATACTCTTCTAGTTTCTTCAAGGATAGATCATTCTCATTCACCATGATATCTGATGATAAGTCATCATATTCTGATTCTGATTGACCTGCTATTTCTGCAGAAATTTTCTGAATTTGCCCTTGTACAGTTCGGAACTGATTCACCCTTTCTTCTTTCCTCAATCTCATTTCCCTCAAAGCCGGCGTGATTGAATCTAACTGCTCTTTCAGTGTTCCCGCCATTTTTTCTGGCTGATGTTAATACAAGAATCAGTTCATGCGAGTAAGAATTTTTTATATTTATAGTTAAGACCTCGCATGAAAATTCGAATATATATGCGCTTCAAATCTAACTAGAAGACTGCCAAATGATTCTAGAAGTAAATCCTCACTATTAACGTATGAATTTGGCTTCTGCTTTAACATGCATGCTATGTTTATGGCCATTCTAATTTACTGAGTTTACCGGGATTGATAAATAAGCAACCTACCCGTCCAGGGAGAGATCGTTCACCAAGGGACAAAAGAAGATGGGTAAATTCAGCCTCAGCTTCTGCCAACTCCTGGTGCAGGACTTTCTCCCTTTCAAAGTGATCTTGTCCAACTTCATTCCAAATCATCTGTCCATTCACATTGAAGAACAGAAAAGCAAAAACAAAAAAACAAAAAATCCAGAATGAGAACAATTCAAAGCCATTAGTTATCTGATAAAACTAGAAGAAAATCATGCCTGCAGTTCTTGAAGCAGGTATCCACATGAAGTTTCGAGAAGATTGGAGCTTCGCATTCCCATCGGTGTTTGAAATGAACCCATCTGAATATGGTTCCTTCAGAGAAACTCAGGCTGCAGATAAGGTTAGTTCCTTGACATGCAGCAGCTAAGTTAAGAGGGCAGTGTTGAAAGAGTGGAAAGAGAGAGAGTGGGAAGTTCCTTGTTAAGCACCCAATGGCTGAGAGAGGGGGGGCAGAGTGTGTGTAGTGTTCTGGTGGACCTCTGGGTGTGAGTTTTGCTTAAAAGACAAGGGTGGCAAAGGTAGGTAATGCCCAAGCTTTCGGTTCAAGGATCAGCAGTTCTTTTAGAACCTTGAGCTTTTTGTGACTTTCCCTTTCCCTTTCCCTCTCCCTCTCCCATTATTTGAATTTAAACATGGAATTCTTTTAGTTAGGGTCTCGTATTCAGAGATTTGTGTACACCTATTTTGCACCACACTGACCACCCTTTGACTTCATTCTTAAGCAATATATCATATGTGCCTTGGCGAATAAGAATACGGTTCTGCCTTCATTTTTAGAATGCGGATTTCGTGCTTGATTTTGGCTTCAAACTTGGATAGTAATTAATAATATTTTATTAAAACTTGGATCATCTGATGTGTTAATCTAATCTTTCACTTGTTGGGGTGGCCCATTAACCTTTTGATTGGTAAATTATTTAATTATACTAATTTTGATTAACTCTGAGTTTATGGTTGAGAGTCGGTATAACTAGAGACAAATTAGCAGGTAACATTTTTCTCTCTGTCCGTATGGATGAGAAAATTGAACTTTACTAACCTGCATTAGGTATGGGATTAAATTCTTAATAGGATCATTACCATCTGACTTAGAGCTTAATTGCAAAATCATCTACAATAAAGGGTTCTACCTTGTTCACGTTTGCAACAGGCATTATAAAGCCTATCTTATCATAGTCTGCCAAATCTTTGTCTTGCAAAGAGGATAAGATACCAAGAGTGGCTGTGACCCAAAGGCCATAAAGTGAGCAACCCAATCTCTTTCTTTCTCTCTCTCATTCATCTGTCAGTCAAGAATTTGGGAAATCAAATTGAGGAGTATTTTGTTCTACTCCACATGAAATTTTGAAAATGGCTTTTTTTTTCAATGGTAGAAAAATTACAGGAAAAAACCTACAAATTGCAGACATGGGTCAAATGGATCTCTTAAAGAAAAACTCAAATAGGTATCTGTCCCAGACAGATCTAACCAATGAATGACAATTTTTTGAAGACGTCATATTCATTTTGATATCCTAAGATGGCTATGCAAGGAGAAAAGGATCATAAAAAATAGGGCAAAATGCAAAGCCCCAATGGGAAGAAGAAATCAAATTTATATGGGATTAACTTAGAATGAATTCATATAAGCTTTTCAATCGTGAATAATATAATGAAATAATCAATTAATTAATTTCCTTTCCTCAACCCTTGAACACAATTCTCATAAGCTCCTCAAAGTGAAAATGATTGTACAATTTTTAGGTCAGTCATTTCTGTGTGCTTCTAGCTTTGGTTACTGTCGTCAACAAAGAAGGCTGTAAGATGGCATGTCTTCGATCCGGAAGACACCATCCATTAGCAGTTCCCTCTCCAACTGAGCTCGAGTGGATTTCAAAACATCCTGTAACACACACATGCACACTTCAATCAGATTGACTCAAAACCCTTTGGAATTGATCATTCAGCAGCAGAAGAGGCCTCGGCCTCAAGCATCATAAAGCTTTAACCAAAACTACATGAAGATCCTAGAAATTCTCAACAGACAAAATTTATAAAGATGAAAGATTCTTCTCACATTGAACTCCATGTATGTAGCATTTCTCTCAATCCACTGCTTGTCCATAACCATGAAAGCCACGCAGTAAAGCAAGTCAAAGGACCACTCATTTTCTGAAATGACATCAAAAAATAACAAGAAAGCCATAAAAAACTTATGGTACAATTAATTTATATGCTTCAATTCAAATCAGTAGCTTAATTGGATGCGATTTCGGGCTCTTACCTAACAACATTTGTAAGAAAACTGCTCTGATGAAAGTTCTGGGTTTTGCTGCCAAACAAACAAGCATGATGAGCTATCTCTCCAAAGAAGAAAACAACTTTAGAGCTTGCAGGTTGGCCGATTCTAGAGAAACAGAAAAGCTTTAAGTTGTCATTTGTAAAATGGACAAGATTTGATCTAATATCCTAAGTTGTAACTTACTGGCTTCAAGGTCAAGCATTTGCATGATCATGAATGTGATATTTACACCAGCAACAGCAAACGGATATTCACAAGCAGCCGGCTTTCCTCCCTGCTTTTTCAATAGGCACTGGAAAGATGTCTGCAACAATATATATATATCAATCTCTCCATTTTTTGATTATATGGGAAGAGGAGAAAAGCTACTTCTTAATGTTCATAACTTTCTATTTAGACATCTAAGTAATGTCTTACCGAAAACGTCTTTGCAAAGAACAACAGGTTCTCCAAAGAAATGAAACCAGCACCTCTGTCAGGTAGAGAATCCGAACTAACCAAGTAAGAGCCAGCACAAATTGACAGAACAAGTTTGACCACAAAATCTGGGACAACAGATGAGTTTTAAAGAAGACAACCTGAAATCAGTAGATGGATCTCTTCCCTGCCATCCCATCTCTTTCCATTGATCCGATATCAAGCCTTGAAGCTCTTGACCAGGATATGTAGCATACCAAAGAGCTCTCAATGCTTCCTGTCCTCATAAAAAAAAAAAATTTCCTTAACAACTAAGTTTAAGAAAACAATTACCAAAGAACCATTTGAACATGTCATTTGAGAACATTTTATTTGTAAATGCTCAAGCATACAAAGATTTCAAATGAGCATTGCACCTGGTGATCTGCCCTAGCAGCATCAAAGTAAACCTTCATTCGGCGCTTCAACCGTCGCATTCTTTCTTCCTGCAAGTTTCCAAATACATCAGTAATATTATAGGGTGAAATGAAATAACATCATGGAAAGAACTAGAGAAACAGAAGGATCTCAAACCAGCAAAATACAAACTCTACTGAATTACCACCAAGAAAATAATTCTAATTGGCCTATTGCTACAATTTGAGGTGATACAGATTATGCACAATGGAGACAGCAAAAAGAACATGTAATACTTGCCTGAAGGGGTGTCAAGTTCATGCAGATCCGTTGATAATTTCCCTTTCGCTTGAAGCAAACACAAGTTGCATCAGCTGCATAAAACAACCAGTAGAGTTCCTAGCTTGTTTAAACTTTAACTTTCAATCAATTGATTTCACAGTAAATTGATTGATCACCATGTGTACTCGTTCTATCTCTCTAACACCAGAAATTACACAAATCAAAAGATTGACACAAACAGAGCAGAGCAGGGCGGACAAAATCTTAGCAACCTACCTGGCAGTAGCACACGATCCACAAGAAAGCATTTCATAACAGCAATGTGCTCTTCCACCAGTTTTCCTTGTTCCAGTGAATTCCAGTTTCAATGATTAAGACCAGTTTAATGTCTGGGATTTCGTGAAAATAACTCCTTGATTATTATTATAATAACCAGGTATTAAAAACACTAGTTTCTTTTCAAACTCTCACAGACCCCATCTACCAAAAACTGACAGTCCGAATAAATGTCCAACTTAGTAGTATAATAATATAGTTGTAATATTTGTCTGTACATGCATGCACATCTTCATTTTCATTTCCTTTCCTGAAGGTGTTTTATAATTAATTTACCAGATGTATTTTTATTTTCTAAAAATATAAATTCATTTTTTTGTTTTTATTCTCTGAAAATATTCACCAAAAACTTTATTAAACGGCCCTTATCTTCTTCAGAAAGATAGTCTGAACTAGTTCAAATTATTCTAATCTTTAAAATTAAAAGATCGAATTCGTACAAAGAGACGGAAATACTAACTAGCATAACCCACAACTGCACACATCTATGATATTCAGAGAGTGCGCATGTGTAGAAGAGTGTGTGCAGTGTCGTTTGACGGCCGACAAATATACTAACAGGCGCTGAGATGGGACATGAACCCGCATCGGGCCACGTGGGCGACATATGGTGTTCATGTGATCCGACATCAATGTGGTCGGAAACCTATAGAGGTGGATAGAGAGCCATAGGCCCAACATATATAACACAAATAAGAAACACAATTTGTAGTATACTTACTAGTATCAAAGTATTACGCATATTATACTATTTGCTTTGGTTCCGTGTACCTACTACTTCCACGTATTTTACTTCGTGCCAGTGGATCACAAGAGATGGGCCCTACACAATGTGGACTCACCTGAGTTGGATGGCCAATGATTTCTTCCATGACTAATGAAATTACTTGTCTAAGAACATCTCTATCCATAAGAGCAACTCTATTCATTTGTCCTTAACTGTGGCAAGAGGGGAGTTAGAGCAGCCACTATTCACTTGAATAGTAGTTGCCCTTACAAATAGTATTTTGTGTTTTCACCCATTGCCATGGCAAAGGGCAATTACTATTCATTTTTTTGTTTTTTTCAGAATTTTTTTTACCTCAATAATTAATTTGGATAATATTTTCGTGTTCCTATGTGTCAATACTATTCATATCTCATAATCGGATAAAATTTGCAATTTCAAATTTCAGATAAATTTTTTTAAAAAATTGGCTGGTATTTATAGAAAAAAATTCATTAATTTTTGGGTTTTTTTTAAAAAATTTCCAAATTTTTTATAGTATTTTATTGCAAAAAAATTGGCTGCCATTGGATTGGAGGAAAAAATCAGATCGAAGAGCCCAGACGACGTCACGTGGCAACAGAAAAAAAAATCAAATGAGTGGGCTGACGCCAGCCTGGCGTCAGTAATGACATCAGCCCAGCCCCCAGGCTTGAGCTCGGGTTGAACTGGCCTGAGGGTCAACCCGACTTCGTGGGTCCCACTTCCAACCCGGGCTTGGGCTCCTCGCTAGAATTGGGTTTTTTTTCTCCCCCTAGCCTCTGGCTGGGCTTGCCGTTGGAGTTGCTCTAAGGGCTAAAGCAAGTAAGGGCTGCCACTATTCACGTGAATAGTGGCAGCCTTGCCATTTGTGGTTCCATCCCAAAAGGCTAGGGAAAGGGCAAGAAAAAAAAAAGAATATGCAACAAAATAAACTTGTTATGTATTTATAGGGAAAGTGAATAAAATTGTTATGTATTTATAGAGAAAACATCCATAATTTTTTGGTATATGCCCTTGGGCTTGCCCAGGCTGGTGGGACCCAGGCCTTACCCGGGCTGTTGGTTGCGCGCTGGAGGTCCAAACCCTTCAAAAGGGGCCTCCTGCAAGGCTAAAGGTCCTACGCT